GGCTCCTGGTTGTGATGTTGATGATACAGCTTCACCGCTAACAATCGATTCTGTTGCACCTGGTCCCGATCTCACACCTTCTGGTTGTGTTGGGCCTCCTGGTTGTAATGTTGATGAGATAGCTTCACCAGTCACAGTCGATTCTGGAACACCTGGTACTCTTGTCACACCTTCTGGTTGTGTTGGGGCTCCTGGTTGTGATGTTGATGATACAGCTTCACCAATCGCAGTGGATTCCGTTGCGCCTGGTCCTGATGTCACACCTACTGGTTGTGTTGGGCCTCCTGGTTGTAATGTTGATGAGATAGCTTCACCAGTCACAGTCGATTCTCGAACACCTGGTACTCTTGTCACACCCTCTGGTTGTGGTGGGGCTCCTGGTTGTGATGTTGATGATCCAGCTTCACCAATCGCAGTCGATTCTGTTGCGCCCGGTCCTGATGTCACACCGATTGGTTCTGTTGGGCCTCCTGTTTGTAATGTTGATGAGATAGCTTCAACAGGCACAGTCGATTCTGTTGCGCCTGGTGCTGATGTCACACCTACTGGTTGTGCTGGGGCTCCTGGTTGTGATGTTGATGAGATAGCTTCACCAGTCACAGTTGATTCTGGAACACCTGGTACCCTTGTCACACCCTCTGGTTGTGTTGGGGCACCTGGTTGTGATGTTGATGATACAGCTTCACCGCTAACAGTCGATTCTGTTGCACCTGGTCCTGATGTCACACCTTCTGGTTGTGTTGGGCCTCCTGGTTGTAATGTTGATGAGATAGCTTCACCAGTCACAGTCGATTCTGGAACACCTGGTACTCTTGTCACACCCTCTGGTTGTGTTGGGGCACCTGGTTGTGATGTTGATGATACAGGTTTACCACTAACAGTCGATTCCGATGCACCTGGTACTGTTGTCACAGCGTCTGGTTGTGTTGGGGCTCCTGGTTTTGATGTTGATGATACAGCTTCACCGCTAACAGTCGATTCCGTTGCACCTGGTACTGTTGTCACACCTTCTGGTTTTGTTGGGGCTCCTGGTTGTGATGTTGATGATATCGCTCCACCACTAACAGTCGGTTCCGTTGCACCTGGAACCGTTGTCAGACCTTCTGGTTGTGTGGGGGCACCTGGTTGTGGTGATGATGATGTAGATTCAGCACTAACAGTTGATTGCGTTGCATCTGGTACTGTTGTGATATCTTCTGGTTGTGTTGGGGCTCCGGGTTGTGGTGTCGATGATATTGCCGCACCGCTAACAGTCGATTCTGTTGCACCGGGTACTGTTGTCACTGGTTCTGGTTGTGTTTGGGGTTCAGATTTTTCTGTCATTGACGCGGCTTCACCACTTTCAGTATAGTCGGTGGCAGCCGATGGTGATATTCGCCCTGATGTCTTTGTTGGGATGCTTGACTCGGCGTTCGATGACAACAGTTCGCTGTTTGCAGTGGATTCTGGTACAGATGCTGTTGCTGTGAGCTCGGTCGATGGGAGAATGATGGGTGTTTGTGATGTCATTGGTAATGTTCGGTCGGCAAGATTTGTTACAGTGGGTATGTGTAGATGCGTAGTATGTGGTGGGGGCGTGGTGTAGTGAAGCTCTGGGGCATTTATGATTGTGCTTGTTTCCGGTGTGGTTTCTACTGCACGATGCTGCGTAGTTTCGATGACTGCCATTGTTTGTGGCACAATGGAAGGAAGATTGGTAACTGTGGCTGTCGGAATGATTTGATATGTTATTGTGGCGGGCTCGTTAGGTTGAGTTGTGACATGCTCGGCCGTCTCTTGAGATATGGTGTAAAGAGGAGACGGAGGTGTTGTTATCGAAGTAGTTTCGGACGGCGATGTGTCGCCGTTGCTGGGCTTTAGTGTTGTAATCGGTGAAATTGTAGGTAACAGTGTGGGGGGGATGTATACAGGTGTTGCCGAGGTAATCATGTCGGAGTTTGTTGTGGTTGTTTCACCTGGTTGACTTGTAGTAGTGGCTATTGTCGCATGGGGTGCCGTTGAGGATTCTGTTTGTCTTTCTTCGAGGAAGACAGTTGCAGTCGTCATCGTTGGAACTTCACCTGGTAGGGTTGTTGTTGTGGCAGTTATTATGGTTTGTGATGTTGACAGAAGGGGTTGATCGGTTATTGTCAAAGTGGTTTGAGGCATTGTAGTTGTAATTCTTTCTGATTGTGGTTTACCGCTTTCTGTGGTCGTTAGTAACGTTGATGATGTGCTGGTGATGGGCATTGTTGTCGTAGGAGTTTGTATGAAGGGTATTGTTTGCTCTTGGGTTGTACGTGTCTCTATTGCTAAGGGAAATACCATTGTTATATATTATGGTTTTGTGGAATGTTTGAAAGCGTATATGTCAGTTGGCCCAATTCTATGTATGGATTTTGCAGTCCTGTGAGTTTTACGAATGTTCGACTATAGTGTGCGTATTGGGGGATTAGGGCGTTATGGAAATTTTCGGTATGTTTTTCCGCTGGGCCTTGCAAAATTATCGGAAGTTTTTATTTATGAAATCCTTCTGTGTCAGGAAAATGTTTTGCTTTTTGGAGTTTTAATTCCTGATTTAAAGCGCTGTTCACCTGAGGATTTGCTTATATGGGGTCCTGTAGCAGTTATAGTTGGAAAGTAGTACTGGAATTGTTAGCAATTGTTGAGCTGAGATAGAAGGGTTTCAAGCTTAGGTATAATGTCACTGGAGTTTGCCGATTAGGAGTGAAAATAGAAAAATGGTTCATACTTGTTTCTATAATTGTTGAAGTCGTCAAAGGTATGACAGTACGTATTGTTGCTTCTGTAGTTGACGAATTGAGTTCTGAAATTCAAATAATATATTGATGTAGCATAGGGCTTTTTTAGTAGCAAAATGTTACCTGTAGTTAACGTCACACTTGTAGTTGGTTCAAGATTTGATTTTGTAGCGATCGGTTTTGCATCAGCACAACCAAATATGCCTAATTTAAGTTGAGATGGTATTGAATCATCGTTTGTCTTCAGTATTGAAATTTGTAACTCAGCAACGTTTTCATAATATGGATCATAAACGATAGTTGGGTTCATTGGATTTGTATTTTCGATTGCGTCAAAGTCATACTCAGTTATAGCACTAATTGATGTGATTTTTGATTCAACCGCATTGATAATTGTTATATTTTGAATAATCACTTCCTGTTAAATGAAGATTAGATTTATATTATTTGGAAATGAATGATTCTATCTTAATACTTTTTTAAACACGATAGATATGGTTGTTGGTAAGTGGGAAAGAGAAATCGGGTTAGTCAAGAAATCAGTTGAAACGTAGTCATCATTGACTTTGAGAGTATCAAATAGAACTGTACCATTCTGTGTAAGTTCACTTATATTTTCACAAACTAAAAAGAGAAAGTATGCATGGGGAATATGGTTTCTGTAAATGGAAGTTAACCTGTTTTTGGTGTTATTGGTTTAGTTATTATTGACTTGTTCGCAGTTACCGTAACAGCTGAAGCTAGATAATTGATGAATAGTTTTGTATTATTACATGTTCAAAAAAGTATCACGAGAGCTATCTTACACCGTTACTTTAAAGAGATTCTTCCAAAATATAAAAGTGGTATTTCCAAAATAATTGTATCTCTTTTATTAGTTTTTTTCACGTTAAACAAAAATTTATTTTTATTACATTATCGTTTTTGTTCTAAACTCTGGACACATACTCTTGAACCTAACATGACGTGTTTAAGAACCTTCCTGAATAGGCGTATTTCCAGTACTTAAAGGCAGGCTTCTCATAAATAAAAAGCTAAACGTTCGGGGAAAACAGTTATTTTAAATTGCATTGTATGAAAGCAAAGTAATCATATAGGAAAATTGGATTTCTGTTTTTGCTTTATACACCAGAACACATTTTAATAAAATTCGATTTTTGCAATCTCTAATCAAATTCAAGTGTATTTTTCGCTGTTCTATAAATCTATTTACCTTGAAAGTTGAAAATGTTGAGTTTACACGTTTTCAAGATCAGAAAACAGAGACATTCATTTAAATTTATTTTACTTTCAGAGTTAGATATTGTTCGAGAAAAAACTGACTACTTGATACCATGTCTATCTTTCACATCCTACTGTCTAGACTGACACTAGTTGCAGAAAAGAAAAATTGAGTTTGAGTTTGTATATAGTATCCAAATTCACTAAACTACATGAGTTTTGACGTAGTTCTATTTCTGTCGAATATCGTATTAATATTAAAAGTATTTTTGATAGATACATATATTCTTATACCAGCGTCTAGGAATCATTTTTTCGAAATCCTTTTTTGGAGTTTTACTATAAGTTTTGATAGTTATTTGGTTCAAATTTCATTTCAGAACTATTTTAGTGACAGTCATGAATGGTTCTAAATTAAATTGATAGTGCAAAGTTCTTGACGCAAATATTAGAGGACCTTCTTATAACTGGAAATTACTTCTCCCTCAGTAATACAAATCCATTCAAAGATAAAAGACGCAAAAGACAGAGTATATGATTCACATGCAATGACTGATGTTTTAAAATGATTTTCGTAGCTGATTTATGTATTTTAGCACTTGTATGGCTGTTTGTTTTTAAGTTCGGTCTGAACATATGTTGTTTTCATCATCTTAGCGGTATATCAGTTTTAAGATGAACCATTTACCAGAAAAAAAACAATGATAAAGAAAACATAATTGAAAAGATATTTATTCTTTAAACAAAATATCTTGAGAACACTTCAAGACTTTTGAAAGATGCCCTACAAAGCTTTGCCATATATTCTTCGCAAAAAATGCATGTCTACCGAGATTGAACATGATCAACATAGAATGCATCATTTTAAAACAGGCATTCCCCAAATAGGAACACATTCAGTAAGAAGATGCTACATACTACTAAAATATGTGCTCCGCTTATGCTTTCTTTGCTGAAATTCTAACGTGTTCTTGATTCAGAAGATCGAACTCCTATTTGATGAAGCTGTCTTTCTGAGGGTACATCTTCAAACATGTTCTACAAGGTAGATATTCTATGTCTAAGAATCCGTTTTCTTTTCCAGAAAAAAGCATTAAAGTATTTGTCGAAATAAGCTCAAAAAACGATCAAAAATGTTAGATAATGTCGACCCCGGTATCTTTTTTTGATGAGCTGTTTCTTCACGGATAACGGTATTCATTTAAGTAAGGAAGTAGTTAATAACTTCGTTCCTGGTACATTTCAATTTTGGACGGACGCCATTTACACTAATCAAATCTCAAATAGGAACATAGTTGACTCGAATAGCATTTGTTTCAAAAAAGTAATATAGAAAGTAGCGCTTATGCCACTGCTAACCTTTTTTTTCTTTCAACTGTCTTTTGTTGTAAGTATCTTGAGGATATGAGATGAGTACACCAGAACTGGCAAATTGTTAATCTTGACAAAACTCAATACTTTGGCAAAAGAATCATTTTCAACGAGTATTAACCCCTCTACTGTATTATGGCACATGTCTGAATAATAGCGAAGTCATTATAATATGTACATATGAAGATTCTCTAGAAAATAAAAATAAAAACCATCGTGAGCAATTACTTCATTAACAAGTACTGCCCATCATTATTAAATAATCAGTTACACGCCTATTCTCTTTTTGGTACATTAGAAAGATAGTTGAACTTACAATTTTGCAATGATTCATTGTTAAAAGGTGAAGCTTTAATGCTAAGTATAGCTTCATATAGACTATTCAAATAATTAAAAACATCGAAAAAGATCATAGTACTCTGGAACTATGGTTCAAACTCCTGAAGAGAAAAGGTATACATGACGATCAAGAGTTCACAAAATATGATTAGAGAAAATGGTACATATACTCAAAACGAATTTTTTTGTCTGATTATTTTTTATCTTCGACGATTTTATGATATCAAAAATTGGTTTTTATTAGAAATAATTATGATTTTCGGAATCAGCATGCAACAATACATCGGAAATTCTACATTTCAACGCGAAATATATCTGGTTAAAATTTTTTCTTTACTCCACCTCAATTTTTGATCCGTAAAATTTTAGGCTATATGTAGCTAATGGTAAAAATTCATTGGAAAACTTTTCTAATGAAAACTAGAGTTTCCAGTATCTTTTTGCATGTTAGTTCCGAAAATCACGCTTATTTTCAATACAAACCAATTTTTGATAATCGATATTTAGAAAAATTAGCCGTTTTGCGGATATTTTACATAGAAGTGACCTCGCTCTAAAAATAATATTTTTTTTTCTAACATTGCAAATGTCAAATGTCTAGCTATGTTATTGCATTTCGTCATAAAACTCACAACTAAAAACTAAACAAAGAAAAGAAAAACTAATACGGGGAAAGGGGAGTGAGAGAGGACAAGTATAGAAAAAAGCACCACTCTCATTTCTTTCTATCTATTATTAACATATAAGAAAGAACAAATGCGTCCAGTGATTGATCTTATTCTTTAGAGAAATAGTGCTTTTATGAGTTGCACCAAGGCTTTAGAGTCTGTTGTCGACAGTCTCGTTTTATAAATACTCTTTCTACTGACGATCTGCATCCTTTTTGCGCTGAAGTATTATTTGTTTGTTTCGTTGCGAGAGTACAGAATAATTGAAGTGAGCTTACGTGCTAAAACTGTATTGGACAAAAAAAGGTCGGGACTCAAAACTGTCGTCAAGACTACCAAATGTATGCCTTTCTTCACAACACAATAGAAGGTCTTCTGTAATTTGTGCACGATAAGATCCTGACTCTTCTTACATATCGAGAGCTTTCGTTTTTTCAAAGACGGCAAAAAAGTTTTTGACTCAGTCAAGTACTTAATAGATGATGTGAAGATGTCGGCAAAGCTTCCTTTTGCAGATAACTATTTAATAGTCGTTAGATCTGATAGAGCTTAGCTTTAAATGTCGATCATAAGTGGCCATGTCTAAAATTCGATTGTAAAGTGACAGAATCAAGTAAATATTGCAGTCAGCTAACTACAGATATGTACTAAGCATCTCATCTCACAATCTTCCTAAAACAGGTTTAATGCAGTGCCACATAGTAAGTGTAGTCGTAAAATTTTGAGCGCAATCCTGTGTTGAAAGAATCTAAGTTACATACATATTACATTGATTTTGTATTACACAAATGTTGGACTCCATTGGAGAACTTTATATGATAGTTAAAAGATCGATGCTAGCTATCTTTGAAAGGAAATCATAAATGAATCTAATGTATTTTCTCTATTTGCAACTTGTCATTGTCTTTCCAACCACTACAATTATATAACCTACTTTCTTTTGCTATGTGGTGCTAATACAACAGTTTCATATTTCGATTATACATACGTCAATAATAACCGCTTTAGACATCACTTACCACGATGAAATTACGCTTGGTCGATGGAATAAGTCGAGTTGCACCCTTTCCTTTACTTTCATCTTTCAAAGCAGTCGGATTCGATCAATACTGCTCTGGTCATTTTTCAAAGAACTATATTACGTGTTAGATTTAGAATCATTTATGACTGTCACTAAAATAATTTTTGTCATGAAAATTGACGTCAGAAGATTATTCTATATGCACATATACCTTCTGCAAGGAGACATTATGATATGAACTTCATTAATTTGACGTTCAAATAACTATCAAAATTATAGTAAAACTCCAGAAAAGCATTTCGAAAAAATGATTCCCAGAAGCTGGTATAATAATATATTTATCTATCAAAAATACTTTAAATATTAAGGCGATACTCGAGAGAAATAGAACAATGCCAAAAATCAAGTAGTTTAGTGAATTTAAGTACTAAATACAAACCCAAATTCAAAGCCAATATCCAAATTTATTAAATTACAAGCCCGAAATTCAAAAGGTTTGAATTTGATACATGCTTGGTTATGACTTACTTTGCAAGTTATCGGTAAGGCTAGTTCTGTTAACAGTTGTTGGTTTATATTGCTGTGTTGAAGCTAAATGAATATTTGATCAGATTAGTTTATATAATAATCGATTTGGATTCTTACAGTCTTCTATTTGTGCTTTAGTTGCTAACCTATTTGGTTGTCCACAACCATAAATAGCTAACTTTATTGTTTTCGGAAAAATTATATTTGGCATTGTTGTTGTCAACGTAATTATCAGGCCAGTATTAAATTCAACATTAGGCATGAAATTGACTTGTAATCCTTCTAGATTAGTACTGGTATAAGTATCATAATCAGTTTCAACAGTCATCTGTGTAACTTGTGACTCATTTGGGTTGAGCACAGAAACTGATGTAATAGTAGACTTAAAACAAATGAAGAAATAGTGTATAAAAACAAAAAAAGAACAAAAATTTATTGATCCTACTGGTTCAAGAGTATAAAATTCAATCGTCATTGTAGATGTTGTCATATTGAACAAATTAGGAAAAGGAGGTTTCTCATACTGTACTCCGTCAGATATTATTGGTGAAAAATAATAATCGTTCGAACTGACCATTTCGACTGGTGTTGTACAAACTAGACAAAGAAAAATTAAGAAAATTAAATTAAGTTTTTTTTTTAACGAAAATTACCTGATTCATCAATAACACTTCGAGTTGGGCTGGTTTTCTTAGTACGGCCAGTAGCTGAAATAAGAATTTCAAATTTAAGATTTTATATAAAACAAAATTCTTACTAATGATTGAAGTAGTTGGTATTGTCGTGAAGACGCCAGCTGAAGGCAGAACTGTACTAACTAAAAATATTTAACAAAACATTTTCATTTATTTTCAAATAAAATTTGTTTACTTGATCCGTAACAACCAATTACCATCAATCGAACAAAAGATGGTTTATTTTGATCAGTGGTTTTTAATATTTTCACATCAATTCCTTGAATATTACATCGAAGTTGATTTTCTGTAACAGTTGGATTATCGTCAGGTGATTGAATAACAATTGTTTTTCCATCGGATGTTTTTAAATCAGTTTTATCACTTGTTTTATAACTAACCTCAATCTTTGCGACATTTGATGGTTGACGTCCAAGTGCTGTTCGTTGTACAAGCACATCTGATACACAAATATGATTATTAAAAAATAAATTAATTATATATGGCCCTTCTGTTGTTAAATCTTCGCCACGCATATTTTCATAAGCACGTGAAAAATCAGAAAGTGGAGCTGCATGTGATGAATATGTTCGCATATTAGCACGAGTTAAAATATTTGTCTTTGGACACGAAACTTTAAAAAGAATTAAAAATTTAGAAAAAAAGACAAACGTTATTTTTTTTGTTATTACTTGATTCAGCGATTGTACTACCAATTAGCTTTGTGCTTATTGTTGTTTCATCTAAACTTTTAATCAAATGTTAAAATAAACAGATGAAGAAGAACTCACCTGCTTCAACTTGTGCTTTGGTTAATAGTTGATGTTGTGCTGAATAGCAACCGAAAATTTCAAGTTTTAAATTGTTCGGTAATGAGTTATCTGTGGTATTAATCAATTTAACGGTTAAAGTTGATACATATTCGATTGTTGATGAAAATAATACTTCATTCGATGTCGGGCTTGTACTATAAACATAGTCATTCATAACATCAGCAATTACTCCTATTTCACTTAATTTCGATTGATCACCGTTAACAAAACGAACTTGTTCAATATCAACCTATAAGTAAGAAAAAAAGCAAGGTTTTTGTTTTTGATTAAATTCAATTCAATTTGAAAACATACTGGACTGATAAATTCAATATCAATTTGAAAAGGTAATTTGTTTACAACAAGAGGTGAAGGTATACTAGATGGTGTCTGTATTTCATTTTGAATAATAACGTTTGAAAAAAGTATATTACTCAATTGAGTTAATTCAGTTGGATTTGTACATCCTAAAACAAGAAGACAAAAAAAAAGTTAAAAGGAATAATAAAAATAAAAAGGAAAGAAATGTACTTTTTGTTGCTGATGTTATTTGAGTTTCAGAAGGTCTTGTTGTCATTGGTATAAAATAAGTTACTCCTATTAATAAAAATGATTCAGTTATAATTCAAATTTCAGTAGGAAATGACTTATAAATCTATTGAATTCATTACACACACGAACTTAAGCTTATCATTAAGATGGAAATTTTCATTCACTTTTGTGAATAACTTACTTGGTTTATAACAACCTAAGACTTTCAAACGAAACCAAGTGGGTCTTCCACCATTTGTTTGAAGAATAGTTAAATTAAATCCTTTCAAATTATTAATCATATCATGTTGAATTGTTAAACTTGTATCTTCATCGGATGTGGTAAATGTCAGTACTTTTCCTGTTGTTGGATCAATATATGGTGTATTGTCCCATGTTATATAGTACAAACTATATTTAATTATATTTGATGTACGCGTTTTATATGTTGGTTGTAAAGCAACAGTTGAAATACTGACAGGTGCATTAAAATATGCACGAATCGTCGGTGTTTGAGATAATGGAAATGACACACCATTTCGATTTTCATATGCATTTGAAAGATCAGATAATGCATCAGGCGAATAATATTCAGCCATATTTTCCGGTTGCATTATATTTGTTATTGGACACCAAATAGCTAAAATAAAAATTGTTAATATATTAGATGTAAAAAATTTCAATAATAATTAAACCTGATTTGGTTGTTGAACTATTTTCTTCAACTTGAGCTTTTGTTCTTAGTGGACTAGAATCACATCCTTCAATGTAAATAAGAACATTTCTTGGTGGTTGTCCATCAGTTGTAGCTTTTACACGAAATGTTAAACTAGCAGATCGATCGGTGTCACTTGCATCGGCTACAATTAATGCTCCAACGTGGCCTGAATATTCCGGATAGTCTGGTGATTGATCTAATATCACATCAAATGCATCAACGTTTGTTCCACTTGTTCCTTGTAAAATTCCCATACGATCGACGGTCAACGAATGAAGAAATTCAACAGTAATTAAATATTCATTTGCATTTGAAGTAAATGTATAACCTGTTGTTGTATTATCTTGAAATCTGTTTTTATCAACTAATTCATTATTAGCTTTTATTGATTGAATATATGATGCAGGTACTGATAAAAGACTTTCACTCTTTGGGCAAGCATCTAAAATGTCAATCAAATAATTTATATTCAAATCTCTGTTTGTTTTTTTCTTACGTGGAATGTTGGACAACGGATTTGGTGTTGTTGTTGATGCCGGTGCACCTATTTGAAAATATATATATAATGCGTCTTCTAGAGGAGCTACTAAGTCTTATTTTTCGGGATGTTTTTTCTACGGGATTTATTTTTTCATCCGGACTTTATCAATTATGATGATATTTTAGTACACCCGCGTCCACATCCACTATTTGTATGTGTTGGAGAATCGTGTGGGATTTATTACAAAATGCTTACGGGCTTATTGAAAAGTTCCAATAAATCCCGAAAAAATAAGTCCCGGTAGCTGCTGAAATTTTCGAAGAGTCAAACAACAGTACAAATGCTTAAGACAGCATTCGGATTTCCAATTAAAGATACGAGATCTTTAACATTATTAAATAGGAATAACATGATTTGAACTTCTCACCTGCCTATGATTAATAATAGCATAGAGTACTTATCTTTTCTAAAAGAGTCAATTATAGACTTAATTATGCATATGTTTCAATAAATTTCATTGAACTATCGGAGAATGATGACTTTCAAAGCAATCACAGTATATTTCCTTCTGACAATTACTAGCTGAAATGTGTACCGCTCGCATGTAAGGGCGGCCCTCATTTTAACAGCACATAGGCCTCATTTTTTGACGCTCGCAGCGTCCTAAGAAATATATGATGCAATTGTGCTTTGTGATTGTCTCTCTCTTATTAAATATACGCAGGTAGCCGTGCCTTTATCAGATCAGATATCAAATTCTATTGCAAGAATACTTTTTTAAAAACGAATGTGCATCAAACGCTGAAAATTAGGAGAAAATATTTATTCGTTGACTAGCTCGTTCTTTATAAGATACTGTTCATTTTATTACTTTATTTTGATATTCATTTTTAAATTTATCAAGTAAACCATACACAATGCTGGTTAAACATTATTTCTAATAGCAATTTGATCTAGCTCAAAGCTTAGTGAATTTCATCGTGACGAGTATCATATATAAATTTGCCTTAAACCTAAATTTGTGCTAGTTTAGTTGCGAAATAGGTTAAGATTGAAACAAAGAGCCTATAAGTGTATATCTAGGACTAGTTATATCTTGCCTAACTAAATATCCTTGCGTAATATTTTCACTTTTACATTGTTGCTCATACGTGAGTGTTCAAAAATGAAACACTATTTCTTAAGAAATGCTACAATCTCACAAGTATGAGGAAAAAATTGACGAAAAACATGCTTCGGTTACTCTTAGGATCGCTTGAGGAGGGTCTTCTGGCAACCGCTTCATTCGCCAAAAAAAACAATTCCAGTGATGATCGTCTTAGCCAATATTTTGAGGCTGTCGTCATTCTCCGCGCCGTCTCCATCTCATTTTTTTAGCCATAATGCACTTCTCTGACAGTTAGACAGAAAAGACTGACTTGCACAGGAAACAAACAAAGCACTTATTTCATATATCATATTATTGATATATTAGAGAGGTTAATTAGAGTCCGTCGGATTCAAAACTTTTGTATCTGAACCTGTTTAGTTTAAGTTTTTTTTATTTTTTTGATATCTGTATCCGAATCTAACTTCACCCATTTGATTCAAATTTTCCACTCACGCTAAGGCTCGTACTTTCAAAAGAGTCTGCCGAATCCAAATTCACAATAGATCCTATCAGATCTTTTACAAGTTTATAATCATAACTTGATGAAGACTATACAATAAAAAAAGTAGTTTTTTTTTTCTATTTCTATTGTTAAATATATGAAACCTTTTTTTAGAAACAAAACGCGATTTAATTTGTTAAATTTGAAACAAACCTGATCCACAAACATAAACAATAATTTCAACATTTTTTGCTGGCTGTCCATCTGTTGTGCTCAAAACTTCCATCGTTACTTTTGTAACATCATAATTAAGATAAGGCGTTATGAGAAGATTATTTGGTCCATTTAATGAATAAATTTGTTTTGTTCCTTCTTTTAATGTTAATATAATTTGTCCTGATTGAATGTTAGTTATTTGTTTTGAATTATAATTAAAACCTAATGTAGCAAAAGAACCTCGTTGTCCACGTGGAATTAAATCAATCATTGGTAATGGAGAACGACTGTCAAATGTAACACCACCTGAATTTGGTGTAAATTGAGATAATGATATAACATCAAATGCAGGTATAGATAAACCATTTATTGCTGCACTTTCAATCCATTCTGATGGATTAAGCATAGCATCGTGACGATCATTTAAACAAAATACTAAACAACAACAAAACAAAAAGAGAAAACGTATTTAGTTTTCAAGTAAATAAAATTTACATGGAGGTGTTGTTGTTAATTGTTTAGAAAACTCTGTCGATCGTGGTAAGATATATGTAACCTGTGATGCATAACAACCGATAACAGCAAATCGAAATCTTTTTGGTGGTAGTCCATCATTAGTATCACATAATTGTACATGAATACTGTTAACACCTTCAAACCATCCTTCAATGACTGGATTATCTATGGGTGATTTTAATAAGGGTACAAGTGTTCCATTTGGATAAGTTAATTGTGTTGAATTATTATTATATAATGTAACACAAATTTGTCGAATATTACTTGTATATGTTAGATACTCAACTTGCGCATACATTTTTGTAACAATAGCATTATTTGAAAGAAATTTTATTGTTATATTTGGTTGAAAAACTGGAAATGTAACACCTTTCATATTAATATATGCATTTGATAAATCCGACATAACATCATTTGAAGAAAATTCTTTAACATTTTCTCGTTTAAGAATATTTGTTTCGTCACACAAAGCTGGATTTCAAGAAAAAAAAATTATTATATCAAAAGAAAGACTATGCAAACTCACGTTGATGAGCGAATTTTGTTGTCGCTAAATATTAGAAAAATATTAAATGTTAACAAACAATTTTATTTATTATTTACCTTGAATTGTTGTAGTTTCAACATTTTCAATCTGAGCTTTTGTTCTTAATTGTTCTTCTTTAAAACAGCCATTTAAAACAAGCTTTAAATTTTCAGGGGGTTGACCATCAATAGTAGGTAGACTTGTTGTTACAACAATTCGTTCAATATATTCGGCATTAATAGGAACAATTTGTCCAACATAACTTCCATTAGCTTCAATTAAAGTATCAAAACTATCATATAATTTATATTGAATTGGTCCTATAATATTTGGTGAATTAATCAAACCAATACTTGTTATGCCATCAATTGGTTTTGTAAAAATTGTCCATGATTGAAGTTTATTTCCAGATTTTGCAGTCAATCCTGTTGATAAAGATGAAATTGAACTAACATCGGATATAACTTCTCCATTTAGATCCATATAATTTATTTTGTTCGAAGGATTAGCCATTAAATCAATTGGATTTGGACATGAACTCACTAGAAACATAATTTAATATTTTGCTTTCATATAAAAATAAAATATTCTTACATGTAGTAAGACCTGCTCGAGTTGTTGGCTCCTGAATGATATATGTTGCTAATTTAGCTAAATCACAAAAGAAAATGAAATATTCATTTTAAATTTAATCTTCATACCAGCTGAATAGCAACCAGTTATTTTAACACGGAGTCCTCGAACATTTTCATCATTATCAGTTTTTAATACTTTTAATATCAAACCGCGCACATCTTGAAAATGACCCAAAATAACTGGTTCATCTTCTGGTGATGTCCATCGGATTGGTTCACCAGTAATTTCATCCAATACAAGTGAATTGTTAGCATCAAAAAATACTGCTTCAATCTGTCGAACATTTCCAGAATATTGAATGTTTTCACGTTGAATTTCAATTTTTGAAATATATGCTCGATTTGGTTGTTGAAACTTAATTAAAATTTCCGGATTGTTTGATCGACATTTTTCACCACGAAGATTTTCATAAGCTTGTGCCATGTCAGAAAAACATTCAAGTGATAAAAATTTATATGTTTCTAAATTGTATGGATGCATTATATTTGTTTCAGCACATAATGCTAAATAATGAAAAATAATGTTTTTTCCTTTAAAATTTACATATAAACTTACGTATTCGTCCACCTATTCCATCACAAGTTCGTATATGCACTTTTAATGTTGCATTATGAACTAATGAAGATGAAGAATCTGTTTGTAAAAGATCCACTCGAATACCGTGAAATAAAAAGTTTGGACATAATTTATCCAATGAATTATTTTCTCGACCAAACTGACTAACATGATTTACTTGCCATCCTTGTAATGCTGGATTTTTTATTGTTTGATTATAATGATCGAAATAAGATAAGCGTATTTGTTTAACATTGCTTCGAGGTGTTAAAACTTGAACAAGTGCAATAGGAATTGGTTTTTTAAAATAAACTCGAAAGTAGCGTGATGTTATTGATGGATTGAATTGAAAACCAGTTTTATTATTATGTATTATCATATCGTGTAATGTATTTAATTGTTCACTTGTTTCACTTACTTCGATTCGTTCTAAATAATTTGGATCTTGCATTATATCATATAATGGAGTGCAATTACAAGCTAAAAAAAACGACGAGAAAACGTATTTTCATTCCTTTTGCTTCGAAATGAAACTTACGCAATGTATGTTCGCATGTTATTAACTCGATGGGAACATCTTGCTTCGAAGTTGATATAGGTAAACTGAAAAATTCCAATTTGATAATATCTACCCTTAGGAAGCATTGGTTAATAACACCTTGGTTAGACTTAATAGGCCCAATAGTTGTTGTACCACCACCCAATGAACTATGCAAGGTTACATAAGCATTGAATTCACCTGCTTGGCTACCAACACCAATTGACGTAAGATCAACAGGACCTTTGACAAGGGATAATGTCAATGTCGGTACTGTTAATTTACTTCGAATGAGTGTTAAAATATGTGGTGGAGTAAATAGATTAGTAAGAATTAATTGATCATCATCGACATTGGTTTCAAGTCGAAAATATTCAGAACGTGCAAGAAGATTCAATGTTTGATTGCATTGACACACTGCAATAAAAATATAACAGTAAACATCGTTTAAACACATTCTTTCGAATAATTTCACAAATGACAACTTTATAGTCTTGTGCATTTTTCTCGTTTGCTTGTTATTTGTACAAATATTGCATGTTATCAGTCGATTCTATTGACCAATAACAAAATGCTTAAGAATCATATTTTCGATATAAACGTAGAGTTCATAGCCAGAACACTGGATTAACGGAAATGAAAAGGGGAGGGGGGGGGGGCGAGGAGGCGTCAGTAAGCAATGATATTGCTTTTGTCACGAAGTTGAGTTTCTTATTTTCAAAATAGTTAATTTATATTGGAGGAAACAATTCTCGTTCGAAAGTGATAGTTAGACCTCATTTTGGTTGCAATGCGACACATTTAAAACTTCATATTATCTATTCATTATAGGTGCATGCTATGTAATATTTCTATAAAAAGTTTTTCTTTTGTCTTCAATTCTCTTAATTTGAATTATAAACATCAAATGAAACTTTTTTCTTTCCTCCATTGAATGACAATAGAATTATGGCAAAATACTGTCCGTTTCTTTTGTCATTGCATAATGCTGTTTATTAGTATATATAGTATAACACAGTTGTGATGAAATTCTTCTGCAATTGAGCTTTGAAAATAGTGATCTACCCTGACTAATAATATATCATTCCATAGACGTTTCAAAATTCTACAAAATAGTATTTTTGTTTTGATCTTAGTTTGTGGGTAAAGCACTTTTCTGAAACACAAAAACGTGTACGCCAGTGGTAAAAGTTGTCTTTTCTGACAAATATTCAATTAGCTTTGCTTAGAATAATTAGGCTACATATCGAAACAGATAAAATAGTTATAATCGATANGAAAAGTTCCTAAATACGCTGTTCTTCAGGTGGCATATTATATCCTCTTGATTAATATATAGGAGATTTGAATCAAGAAAAGTTCAATTAGCGTCAAAACTAATATGATATTCGAAATTCGGATAAAAAGCTGACTTCATCTATGTATGTTCTAACGATTTTCTGGATTTTTTTCTTGAAGAATTTACGCACGGTCGCCCCCACGGATCAAATAAAAAATGAATGGCATCAAAATGCCATTTTCATATTATAAAGGAACCTAGACATGGTTTTCAATTTATAAGATGAGAAAGCGGTAGATGTCTAGAAAACAAAAGCAGAATTTTTAATAAGTTCATTTATCGTCTAGCACCCAGGGGCGACCGTGCGTAAATTCTTCAAGAAAAAAATCCAGAAAATCGTTAGATCATACATAGATGAAGTCAGCTTTTTATCCTAATTTCGAATATCATATTAGTTTTGACGCTAATTGAACTTTTCTTGATTCAAATCTCCTATATATTAATCAAGAGGATATAATATGCCACCTGAAGAACAGCGTATTTAGGAACTTTTCAACTGGTCAAATTTTTTCGACGTTGAAAAATATATGATTTGGTAGCTTTGTAAAAGAGATATCAAATGTACAATTGCAGAATTTTGTTCATTTCAATTTTTCAATTTAAATATTTGTTCAAAGACAAGAGTGGATAGCAACCACAACAAATATGCTAACAATGTCTATCAGTACACTAAATCTATATTTAATTACATGAAACAATTCATTGGAAATCTTTCTATGAGATTCACATTTCATCAAAGAACTATGAAATTCATAATTCCATTAGTATTTTATCTTGTCTGATTATTGTCAAATTGAATCCACATTAATAGGACGAGTTATTAAGAAAATGATCAAAAATATGTTACTTTGTTCATAGTTTTTGAGTTTCGAAATTCGATCGAAAACTCGTGAAATTAGTGAGAAAATGTTCGTCTCGACATACGTTTTCCATTAATTCATGATACAATCATATTGGTCAAGAAAAACATTGGTGTATCGCTTCGACCTCCTATGTACTCCCATCCTTTGTTCTTAATAGAAACTTTATATTTTATGTAAAAAATACGAGTTGCAACTATATTTTCGTTGATATTATGCTAGTAAGCCAGGCGCCGCGCGAGCGGGGGACTTGTAGAGGGCCGTACACCTCCCGGAATAATCGAAAATTTTCAATTTTTTCCAGCGATAGTCGGGGAGCTTTTCCTACATATCAGTAAAGGAGGAAAGACATATACAACCATAGATATGAACTAATCACGAGTCTTGTAATCTAGATTGCACTTGATTTGCTTTTTGCTACAGATATGCTTTCGGAATCTTACAGCTTCTCATTTCTTTTTATTCTTACCGTCTGAATTTGTAGAGGTTGGAACAAGTTGTGCACTAAAATATCATATTAATTAGTTCATATCGAGAGCTTATTTATATTATCTAGTTAACTTACGTAGATTGTGGAATTGAAATAAGTAGATGAGGAATGAGAATGAATAGCAGAACCGGAAAATGCATTGTCGGCAATGCACGTTTCGATTTTGTATAATCAACGATCGTGAGCAGTTTGAGGCAAACTGACTGTCTCTCTTTATCAAAGTTTGAGTAAAATGATCACTTTTTGTCTGAAAAACTTTCTTTTTATATAAAGAATTTAATGGCATGACTAGATTGTTCTTGTCTTTTATAAATGATTTTTACATCGAAGGGCACGGATGGCGTTAATGATCGATTAAATATAATCTTTTGTTCTTACATATCCATTCTTCTTATTGAATAAAAGATAATAACGTCTGGTGCCCATATTCTTTTGTATAAAAAAAAACGGCGCAAAAGCATATTAAAGCAATGGATAATTACAAAAAAAATCATTCTGATGAATACTGATAACCATTCCAATTGTTCTATATTTCTGATAATGGTTGTTTTTTCACGTATGTTGCCCATTCACAAAAATACGTTCGCAAGTCGTGGGAGATTTTTTTAAGTTTCATCGAAGCGACCAATCAGATATCGAGTTTTTATAGCGTAAGTCATTCGATGCTTATTTAGCACAAGGCTACTTTCATCGAAGTAGTCAATAGAACTGATAACTTGAAAAATCAATGTTATGACATGAAATCAAAAAAGTTAATGTTGATTCTCGTGCTTTTTTTCTACATAATCAATCCTTCTTTTTATGCTCGTGGGTGGATGATATCTAATCCCTATATTAATTCAACTTTGATTAGGCAAAGAGACTTGTTTTTTTCCTATAATATGGTTCAGTTTTCAGACATCAAGAGGAATGATTGTATTGTTGGATTCCAATTCGACAGAGTCTCTTCAGAAGTTATAGGAATCCGTAGATATCCGACGATTGAAATAAAACAACAAGGATTCCAACGTCTATCCGATAGGATCCGACAGGCATGATTACAGCTTGGAAGATGTGGATCTAATCAACATTTTTTCTTCATGTGGTTTTTACGCTTCCATTTAGACAATTATTAATTTGTACACTATTGAATGTGCTTTTCCAGCGAGTACGACTTGGTAACATGTTTACAGAAATTATTCGTTTGAGTATTGGAGAAATTTCATTTTTGTGTATACTTTTATCGCACTTTAAGGAGCATCCATACGAATTTTTCATGTTACATTCATACTGATACGAAAGCAGCAGCACTTAATGTAGTATTCATTTTCATTTTTCTCAGAAGAATCAATAAAACATCTGTGCATAACGCTATTAAGTAAAGAGAAAAAAGTAACAAAATGAAAATCAGTTATCGCAATCTCTGTAGGATGAAATTGTAAAATATAAAATAGCTACTGTTACTAATAGAAAAACTTATCTAACAAATCAGTTTAAGTCAATACTGTATATAATTGACAATCTGTTTGAGTCACCAGACACAACTAAATTGATATTATCCTACAGCTTTTTATCTACCTATAAACCTGTTTTCTTTAGTAATTTGTAAAAATGCGAAATAAATTTCACTTTTAAAGCAGTACGGATCACCATTTGTGATGAAATGTTGGCAAAGTGTCAGCTACGGTTTGTCGTGAACCATTATTGCAACGTCTATCATGATAATCAACAGAAAGAAAGGTATCTGAAAATTTCCTCTCATGTTTTAACACTCCTTTTAGTTTATATTTCATGAAATTGAAGGAACATTGTTTTATAGTAGATTATTTATTATTTTTTCATTTGTTTATAGTAAGAAATTCATTTTATTTTGGTTGTGATTTGAGAAAGGAGAATGATTTCATTGTTAACTTTTTTTTGAATAAGGCTGAATGTTTGCTTAGACATACAATTGATAACTTATTTCAGCTTCATTTGTCATATAGATTTTTAAAAAATATTCTTTCAGCATTTAAATATTACTTTCATATTGAGTATAAGAAGAAAAAAATACTAAACAATGAATGGTTGCTTCGATTCCAGGACTACTACAAGTTTGATTTGGAAAAAAACATCTATTACATTAAAGTTCGATCTTTTCATTTCCTTTTGTATAGCTTTGCAATTCTTTTTTATTGAATGACTGATGACTATCATTTCACACATCTGTTGTTCATTATTTTTTTGTGACAAAAAAGCACAATGCATATAGTCGTTTTATTATTATTCGCGCTTCGAACAAGCATTCTACTATACATTGTTGTGTAGACTTATATCAAATATATCTCTATTTTGCGACATAGCGTACAGCAGATTAAACTGCGAAACATTTTCAAAACGTATTTTGAATTTAATCTGAAATCCGTCTATCATTTTTCCAGTGTCGGCTAAGGAGATTTAATTTTGAATTTGATTTTTTTTCGTCTTAAGAACACAGTTACTAACTAAACACACGCAAAAAAAGAAGCAAGACATGAATCTTTATAAATGTATAAGCACGACTAGACATCAAAGGAGAGAAAGAGAAAAACAAGATGACGATTCACATATAATACGAAACGATTTAATGTTATCAACACCGCTCATAACAGAAGCGAAAAATGACTATCTTTTTTGTTTAATTCAAACAAGTAATAGCTATTTTTTAGAGCGTAAGAGAAAGAAAGATCTTGAGACCTGCCCGTTAAACAGTCGGTTTGGTCTCGATTAGACCTCTTCATAACATTCTATTGTGAATCATCAATGAAACT